CAGCGGAAAAAGGTCAAGAGCAGGGCGCCATCATATGCCGTAACCAACTGAAATGCTGGCTTTTTTTGAGAGGGAAAGTAGTTAATACTTGTATGGTACACTGATTGACTAACTCAAAGAAGCATACATCCCCATGTCCTCTGCAGATTGATTCGGGACACGTGCTTGCTTGTTTCGTTTTCTCTCAAGAAGAAGAAGAAGAAGAAATGTGCAGTCTTTTAGCTCTTTCCGGTGGTCGACGCATGCATGAATTCGGGTGGATTTTCAAGTTTGATCCTTTCCAAATATGCACACGGTACAAGACCGGTGGAATCGGTGATGAGTGGAATGGGGATCGTTTAGCTTAAAGATGACATCAAAGCGAGCTCCTGATGCTTCCAAGCAAATCAAGATCAGGTACTGGAAATGATGAACCCTGTGGGTGCAGAATATGGAACTGGAGTACAATAGCCTTCGGGCGCACGCTTGCCTTATGAGGAAGAGGAAGATATTATTTCCTTTTTCTCTTGGACTACATTGGCCTTTCAGCAAAAAAAAAGTGGTTATTTTTCTTCTTGTTGGATCGAGTCCTGCAGTGGTCTTCTTAATGTAGGAAACAAATTTGTCCACAAGCACATGGATGAATGTTTCAAACTTTCAATGCACTGGCTCTCTGTAAGCAAATACAGTATGGAAGACAATAGGATGTTGGTAGGTCTCTCTCCTGCAGGTTCAGTCTTCTTAACATAATACTACTCCACCTTCGGTCTTCTTATTGAATTAAGAATGTGAAGGCCTTCACAGCCCTCCTTCCCACGCAGGATGCAAATGAGCTACATTCGTTCTTCTAGGAATAAGATTGTGTCCCACTTTATAAATAAAGTCATACGGTCGAATGATACAACTTCCTTATATTTCCTACCTTTTTACGGCTTTGATTTGATGCATGGTTCATGCTGTCACCCTCAATGAGTATCCAAAATTTGTTTGAAAACTGCTTGGTTGGTACGAACAAAAAAAATCTTAAGGGTCATATCCATGTAGGGGTTTGTGCTTTACTTTGGACAATTTAAAATTGCCGAGATGACTATGTTTTTAACAAGCCTCTTTCTTTTAACTTTTTGCAGGCATCTTCAGGGCCGCCACATCGATCCGTATGTAGTTATCACTTCAGCTTGGGACACCGGGAAGCTCATGGCCTTTGGGTGCAACCGTCTGTAGATGGTTGCACAAGCATTACTCAATCGGTTTGGCCGCATGTCACTAGTAGATTATGTTGTTAAAACATGTAATCTTTCTTTTGTACCAACAGGTTGTGGTATTTTTCTTTTTTTGTCGTGTTAGTTGATAATGTGTACTTGTCGAACCTCTTCATTCTTGTTCAATAAAGAAGACTGTGTGCATCATGATGATGCAGAGGTCGAGATCTTTACCTTTCCGAAAAAAATATGGCCAAACGAGACGGGGTTGAGGAAATTCTTGTATGAAGTGGATAAGAAATTCAGAAAAACAAATAGGGTTACGAATAAAGCATAAAGAATGCATTATAGGACGTGCATGGAGGAACCTCAAGCATTGCCATTGGTGTCGACTGACAACAACGATTTTTGAAAATTCTTCGCTATATTTGCACTAATCCCTCTTAATTTGTGAAGATGACCACTGATGTAGAGCTGACCCCATTAAATCTCTTTTGTAGTTTCGTTAATGGACGCCACCATCTTGTCATCAAGCAAGAACCTGATGGCTCGATATTTTTGTCACTTTTACAAGAGGGATTTGAGATGGTTTTCACCTTTCGATATTTCTCGCGTCTTTCTAACGCTAATCTTTCAAGAAATAAGAAAACTTGTTTCCCTCATAATGTGTATGAATATATATATTTGAAAGGAAACCAATCAATATCTTATGAAATAAAGTAAAAGATGGAGCAACTCCCCTTTTGGTGAAACTTCACCAGTGTTTAGATCGCAAGACAACTTGCACTTGTACAACTAATTGTACCAGCCACCACTAGCTCTACCTAATGTATAGGAACAATTTTTTGGGGGGTTGGGGGGGGGGGGTAGCATCAAAGAGACACAACCGCTGCCAAACCATACAGAATAGAGGGAGAAGAGATTAGGAGAGGAAGAACTGTTCGAGATCCATTTCTTCTTGTTCATCCATCTCCATTTCTATTCCATCGCAACATCGCCATAGGGAGAGGAATTCCAAGTTGTAAGACTAGGGTTAATAACTTTGTTTGTACTCATCTTGAGATTGAGATCTATTTGATCATTCATCTTATTGTGGATGTTCCCATATTATCGATATGATTTCCCTTATCTTAATCTATGTGATGTTTGGTTATTCTCCTCCCATGCGCGAGTAATTCTCTCTAAACGTAAGAGATGTAGGTGATCGGTAAGATTCATTTGTGCCTGTTCTATACCTTGTCATTCGTGGTTATAGTTTATGATTGTTCAGTAAATTGTTTATCTATGGTGAGTGTAATGCATGTTGTCCAATTTAAGGAACCCATGTAACATGACCCGAAGATGTACACAGGTAACACATATTGTTTAGTGAATCCGTGATCTTTAGCTGACAGGTGGAGATATCTAAACAGAGCGAAGACAATATGAGATAACGGTGAACCACATAACCTAATGCATCGTTCCAGGCTCATGACCTTAGTTGTGGAGACAACCATGTTATGGCAACGTCGAAGCAGGACTATATGAAAGAACGAATCTGACGTGGAGAAGTTCGACCACTCAAGGGTGATCCGCCTACCGAACAAATAGTCTAAGTATTAGAATCATGACACAAAGTAACTGGATTACCGCCGCACTGACACACTTGACATAAACCATGATTAGAAGTCTCTCCGCGCCTAATCTCACTATTGCAGGAAACAACCATTTATGTTCAGCCACTTACCTTTTGTTGTTTACTTTCAAGCCGTTACTATTATTGCTGCCACTATTAGTCTTCTTCATACTTTAGTATTTTCTTTTACAAGACAATAATACCAACTGCAGATTTTCAGACAGTTACTTCACACAAGATTGGTGACAACATGTGTCTGACCGAAACGCCACTCACAATACTTTCCTCCGCTCTTTGTTGGGAATAACAATTATTGTGATACTTACATGAAGGTGCTACACTATCCTGTATGTCTTGCAAGGCATCAGAACCCAGGAGTAACTGAACTAAAACAAAGAAGTATCAACGGATGCTGACTAAGAACAACCCATCGTCGCCTGAAGAAAGGACCGGACGTTGCCGCAACGTCCTCACCCCACTAGTGTTGAAGAGGGCCCTCAGCTGCCACATAGTCCTCATCCTCTGAGTCTGAGGTTCTCTTCCTTCTAGCTCTTGTGGCTGCTTTGGGCAAATTGCTAGGAGTACTTCTGCTGCCTTCATCTGAGGAACTGGAGGGACTAGTGCCCTCACTCATGTGAATCTGCTCTTCTTCCCTGTTATGGCTATCACTTTGGTCTGACATGCTGAGAACTCTGACTGCTGACCCTGTGAATAGTTATGGATGAGATAGAATGAATGAGCATCACAAAATGCAGAGATTTTTGCAAAAGAATGATTCAAAAACTTAGTTTTAGTTT